TCTACAAATCAAGTAAAATAAATGGTTACTCACAACAATCCTCTGGTTCATTATTAATACGTGTGACTTGGTTGAAGTACCAATCTACAAGGTTTGGCCAGCCATGGAGGTCAGCTGAAACAGGAAAAATGAAGCAGGTGAGTAATGCAGGAAATTATATCAAAGCTTCACTCTTGGGATAAACTCCAAAATGGCTTGAAAATCTGACCTTTTGGTAGCAAGAAAGGGGGCACAATTTTCCCAGAGGCTGCATTGCATTCTTAGTAAGATGGTTGGCTTGCAGCCACACAGAGAGGGGTGGGCACTGCTAGGGCAGGTAACAGTGAGGGCACTTCAATATGGAGGCATCCTCAGATGCAGGGATCTAAATTAATCATTATGGGGGGTGGAAGAAGGGTCGGGGGTGGGGGGGGTGGTGGTCAAAGCCATTAGGCTCTTCGGAGAGGAGGTTGAAACATTTGGCTTCAGTGTGAGGCCTTTCATGGTCCCATCTCTGGTATGGAGCACATAACCAAACCCACTCTGAGACTGCTTCTTGGCATTTGGCCATACTATATTTTCCTGGCTCTCCCACTGCTTCCAAGACTGTCAACATGACATCAGGGAAATTCAACCCTCTCTTTTAAAACAGAACAGCAAGAACTAATTTCTTTCAGGAGGCTAGTTTTGCTTAATTCCTAGAAATTTTGTTTCTTGTATAACCAATCCTCTGCGAATTATTTACGTCAAGGTATTATTACTGACTATTTTGAATCTGAATATTGCTATATTTGACAAAGTTTGGGGCAAAGTTCTTTTATGTTATCAAAGGCACTTAAGCACAAACTCAATAATCAAACATGTTATTGTCTGCTGTCTCTTCAAGACTGCCATAAGAACAGCTTCCAAAGAAAATAAATCAACATGAAAAATTGTCTGGAGGCAGGTCATAATCACCATGGATTTTTCAAGATACAAATATATCAAATTGGTTCTGAATTCAAACACACAGATTCCTACAACCTGTCTCTACATTCACCCGACTGTACCTACCACATTCATCCTCATCAGCTCCATTTTCACATTCTATGACCCCATTGCAGTGTAGAGGCTGGGGCAGACACACGCTGAGATTGCCACAAGGGAAGTATCCAAGGGGGCAGGATATGGTTTGAAAGCCTGTACGAAATGCACTGGAAGCTGCAACAAGGAAGTGGAAAGACAACATAAAACAGTCTAACAGTAAGGTTACCAATTTGAAAATCGAATGTGACTGCACTATGTGAGGAAGACACCTTTTAATCCAGTGTTAAATTTGAACTCATGAAAATATGTCAATTCTATTTACAAATCCTCAGATATATGACTTAAGCTCGAATGGTGTTCTGCACCACAATATCTGGAGTTCCAATGCACCCCAAGATTCTGCAGGCACCAATATTTACCAGTCAGTAATTGAAGCTTTATATTGTGCTAATAATATTGTCATTTCTTTTGGTTCAATTTTGCTCTTTTATTTTAATCAGCCATGGCATGTCATTTCTGGCTTCTGATTCTTGCTTTTGTCATGACCCACTTGGGAAAGTGAGTTGATATTTGAGCCCCATATTTCCTGGGATCATCACAACAATTAAAACTGTAATCCAATTACACAAAATCTAATGAACTCTGGTTAAAAAAAAAGACACTGACCAGGTTTCTGTAATTAACAAGAAACTACCAATTATTACCAAGAAAAAAAAATTCTAACTGAAAACAAACAAAAGCATGAATTATCAACATGTAACTCTACTGGCTAAGTCCCTTCTTAAACCACTTCACACACATACATACAGACAGACACAGACAAACAAAGAAGATGTAATGGGTGGAGAAAGAATAATGGGGAAACATTGTTCAACAGCACCAGTCCACCAGATTCAATGAGGGTCCCTTTTACTTGCCAAGACATTTTGATCCCCAATTTCCTTAATCTTTCCATGTCCTTTCAGTTCTTTACTGCAGACACTGGGCATTGACACATTAATTGTTCATTCTTTCAGTCACTGGTTAGAGGCAACAGCTTACATCAAGTGGTGGAAGAGAATAGCTAGGTATCTTCCAGATTTTGGTTATTTCCCTGCAGAGAGAAAGACACTTTCTCTGTTGCAAGCTGGAGCTTCTGCCTCTGCATTGTTCACAAACTGTCTGTTTACCTGTCCAGGAGCCAATCAGAGATCTGTTCTCATGCTGATGATTCCTGGCCTACACAACAAGTCCTGTATGCACAAACCAATCAGCAAACTATCTATTCTGCATACGCACCCATGGTGCCGTAGCATCTTAGACGTCTTCCCTCACTGCTTGAACAGAGGAACAATGTAAACACAACTCACAATGAGTTGCAGCTACTTGTTTTCAAAAATGTTGCAACTTCTTCCATAGTCCTTGGTTTGAAGCCATCCTTTTCCCATTTTGATCCACAATGCAAAATAAAGAAAAATAAAAGGACGTATTTACCCTTTATATAGATTATATTTAATATGGAAGCCATTGATCACCATTTTAACTTTGACCTGTTCAAAAAATAGCATATAAAAATAAAGGAGTTTGTCCATTTTATTTCTAATTTTGCATTTGCTGTTCTTAATTTGCAAAGACTTGAGGGAATTCTTATTTCGAAGACTAGCTTAAAAATTGTTGAAATCCTCAGTTTCCATTTTTGGTTTCAGTCCTTCAAATATTACTGCTTCACATATTAATAATGATTTTCATGAGGTTTGTTTCCTGGGCCTCCCCTGACCCCATTCTTCAATTAATCTAAAACTCATTGTTATACAATAACAGAATGTTCTTTTCTTACCATCTCAGTTATGAATTTGTTCCGAATTTCTGCCCTTGATGAATTATGCATAACGTGTTGGAACATTTGAGGAGATTTTGGCTACAGTGCACTGATATAAATGTTAAAACAATATCAGCATCTTTGGCCACACTATAGTCATTCAGTAAGTCTGCTCTGGGCTGCAGTTTTCTAAGTGTGTATTTGCTTTGCTGATCACCATGCTGCAGTTATAGAATAAATGAAGAATCTGAAGCCAAGAATCAACTTGACACAGGAGTGAAAGTGAGATTTCTTCAAAGATTAACTTTTGCTATGGTTTGCTTTGTAATCAAATTGCATTGTAACTGTTAAGTTACAGTGCATATGTTTTGTGTCAGTATAAGGTGAAAAAACACTTTGCACCAGTGCTGAATTTGTACTGTAAGTGCATCCAATGATGTCTCTCACAATGAGGGTAGTCCTGCATTGCAAATAAACACAAAATGTGCACTGAATGAGAAGGAATTATTTGGTCAATAAAACTTGTTCTTTCCACAAATTGTTAATACTATAATCTATTGGAGTGTACAGGGCTAACTCAGGAGGGAGGTTGCATAAACCTGCCTTATATTCCCATGACAATGGATCTGATCAAAAGTTTAAAATGTTAAAAGGATTCAGTAGACTAAATCAACAGAAACTAATTCCTCTCACATTGATGGAACATATTCTGAAATTAGAATCATAGAATACCTACAGTGTGGAAGTAGGCAATTCGGCCCATTAAGTCCACACTGAAAATCCGAAGAACATTCCACCCAGACCCACCCCCCTACCCTGTCCCTATAAACTTGCATTTCCTATGGCTAATCCACCCGGCCTGAACATCCCCGGACACTATGGGCAATTTAGCATGGCCAATCCACCTAACCTGCATATCTTTGGAAACTGGACCGCCCAGAGGAAACCTGCACAGACATGGGGAGAAGGTGTAAAGTCAACACAGTCACCCGAGGGTGGAATCAAACCAGGGTCCTTAGTGCTGTGAGGCAGCATGCTAACCACTGAACCACCGTACTGCTGAGCCAGAATTTAAAATAATTTTTATTTCAAAAACTGCTCAGGATTTTCTCAAATGTTACTATTTGATTTCCATGGGATCTATTTGTATTCTCACAAACTGCTTTATTGGGTGATGCAATCACATAGCGACATTAGCTTTTGTTTTTGTATTGACCTATGGTGTGTTGTAATGAAATGTGTCTGATTATATATATATTAATATAATTTTTAGAGTTTGTGTTTTAAAACAATGGCACCTGGTTACTTTTTTGATGGTTTCTTTAATAAAAGGCATAAGACAATTCTTTTGGAACAGTGGCCTTAACCAGTATGTGTCAGAGGACAAGGTGCCCTGACGTATTAATGGAAGACGTTTTTACTGTGGCAGTTTTACAACAGCTGGGGTAATCATTGAGGGTCATTAGCTTGTTTTTGGTCCAGAATAATCAAAGATTGGTTTTAACTTGCAAAACCTCAGATATTAAAAATTTTTGGCAGAGAGCCTAATTAGGGTCAGAAACCAGATCCATTCCTAAAATAGGAGTTCAGATTGTTCAGTTCAGAGAAAATACAGTAACATTAGTAGAAATGTTTAATTTGTGAAACTTCCCATCAATGAATATTTTGTCAGAAAGCTCAGGTAATTAAAAGCTGAGAAAGTCTAAGCCCCTGATTTTATGCGTATTCAGAGAAGAAGATCTCACAATTCACAGGTAAAAGAGTGTTTTATTCATTCATGGAATGTGGACTTCACTGGCTGGGTAAGCATTTATTTTCCAGCACCAGTTGCCCTTGAGTATGAGTGGTGTGCTATCTGGGAGGAATCAGCTAAATTGAACTTCAAGATTTGATTCAGAAAGTTAATTCCTTTGGAGGTGAACATCTGTAAAGTGATGTTTTGGGGTATGGATTGAACTTTGTCTTGCTCGGTGTTTCTAAGTTTGTTTTCTAAATTGGATTCCAAATGTAGATAACTTCATTTTGTTTTTGCCTATTGTCTAATAAAACCTCTTTTCTGTCAATGAAACTCCAATTTAGTGTGACTATGTTTCAGTGAATGACCACGTGTTTAACAAATATGATCTATCAGGCCAAATTTCATTCTGGCATCAGACTTGACCAGTAATATCATCAGCTGGGATCATGACAGTATTTGGACTCACACAGAAATGGAATTAGAGGAATTAATCAATTTCCTCAAAAACTATCATCGCTCAGTTAAACATCACAAACATAATTTCAAGATGCCATGATATTTAAATTGGCATGAGATAACTGGCATGAGTTGGTGACCAATTATTTAGAAAACAAACTAACACACATACCAATACAAAAACAAAAAAATCACTGTAAACATGCTTCCTGTGGATTGATGAAGCCACAGGTAAATGCTTACATGTTTGACTCTAACACAGCTAGTGTACTCCAAGTAATTCACACTATGTGAGATGCTTTGAGATGTAATAACACATAAATGTACGTCATTATGAAATAAACTGTTCAAGATTAAAATATCCAACTGACAATATTTGTTACAATAGTAATGTTCACATCATACACCAATCCATTGTTGAAAGATTCAAAATTACTCTTTCTCCTTCTGTGCCCCAGTTTTGCTGTCCCGTTCCTCAACACCCCTCCCCTTCATTGCTGCTCTTCTTGCACCCTTTACAGACTCCCTTTGCCCCCATTCTTTCTGACCACCCTCTAGCCTTGCTACCTTAGGCCCAAAAACAGTAACAGAAATCTGAAATGATCCATTCCTAACATGGTGCAGATGAGGGACAAGAATTGGAAATTTCTATATTGAACTTGTGAGCTTTTAATTTTGTAAAGATATAAAGGGATAGAGAACTACGTTAGATAATTTAAAGTGAGGTGGAGATTAACCATGATCTAATGGAAAGGCGCAGCAGACCTGAGGGGTTGAATTGTTGACTTCTATGCATGGATGTTACCATTTCTGTATAATGACACAGCCTTCATACATTGTCCTTACTCCCCAAAAGCAAGGAAATAAATTTTTAGAACTTTCAATTATCTTTGCAAGGTCCCATAAGCAGTCATGTTGAAAAATAAGACATGGTGACAGCCGTGCAGATCTGACCTCCACAATGAGAGAAGAAATCTAAAAGACCCAAAAGAAAAGACAGATTTCAAATTGCCGGGCTGGGACAAGTGAGAAAAGCCAGCCACATCGAAAATACAAAGGCCTTAGTTAAGGAGGCTCTGTAAAAGCCAACTGAAAGCTTCAGGAGATAAAGTCCAAGATCCTAAAGGAAAAAAACACAACTTTGTTAAAAATGCCTCAATTATCAGAAAAGGAAGGCAAGGA